AGGTATTGCTCTAACAAAGATATATGACTTGAACTGCTATAAACAGGGACTTTGGTTAACTGAAAATATAAATCTTTTAATCTTTGTGTTAATAGCATTTATGAACAACTTCGGATAAGCAATATGTTCTAATTTAAAAATGTAACCAAAACCACAATTATTCAGCAGGTTCCTTAAGTCGGTTACCCAATTTGTTTTGCCATTGCTATCATACAAACATATCATATTGTAACATTTCTTAGGGAATCTTAAGGAGGGCATATTAAGTAGTCTTGTCCAATATTTTATTATTTTCAGACGTGCTTCTATACACAAAAGGACTAGTCCACATTCACCATAAACCATTACGTTTGGGGTATTAATTTCAGCTCCTAAATATTTCTTACAAGCATATAAATGAACTTTTTCCAGAGCATCTATTTGTGTCAATCCCCAAATGGGTTTAATTTTCGTGTCAAATATTTTGAAATATATGCTATAGTTTACAGCCCAAACGTTTTTTTAAACTACTGGACATGCCCAACAATATTTTCTTTCCCTGCACAGCAGCATTATTTCCATGTGTATTCCATGTCAAAGTATTGTAAAAATACACACCTAAATATTTAAGGGTTAACTACTTCGAAACACTGACCTTGAAATAACAACTTTTCAAACCTTGATAAGTTGCCACCTTTTTTTAAACAAAGATTTTTGTCTTATTTGTATTAATTTTCAAATTAAACTGATCACAATGAACTTCTAATTCTGCTATTTGTTTCTGCAAATCCTTTCACCGTACTTGAAATCATGATAATGTCATCAGGAAATAACAGAAGGAAAAGCTTGACAATGTCTGGATGAAGTTGTATACCATCTGTACAGTTCTGATGAACAGCTGTAGCTAGTTCATTAATAAAGAAGACAAACAATGAAGGGCTAAGTATACATCCCTGGCGTACATCAATGCTGCAGTCAAAAGCGGTGGACATTACACCGTTTTTTCTTACACATGCTTTTACATCATTAAATATATGCTATTTAATAGTTTTACCATTTAACTGCTCAGGCCATGCTTGGTAAATAACATCCATAATATACTTCTATCCACACAATCAAAAACTTTAGAGAAATCAACAAATAAAACGTAAAATGTACCCCCTTTGCTTGATATAATAGCGCTGAATTGAGACTATACAAAATAAAAATATTGTCCGTGGTTGAGTATCCTTCCCTAAATCCTGTCTTTTATTGATGATATACAAGAAAACTTTACTAAATATACTAAGGAGTGTAATACCTCGATAATTGTCAATCATATTTGGGTCATCATTCTTGAATAGGGGTATGATAATACCAACATCCCAACATTTAGCATTAAATTAAACATTACCAGTTGGTATGCCGTTAATAAATCTTCTGCGTGTTTGAAAAACTCCGGGATAAGGTTATCTATTACTGCAGATTTATTATTTTTTAAGATGCCGAATGCTTACTCTTATCTCATCTTCTGAAATTGGTGAATCAAAGATGTCTCTTGTAATATCATTCTCAAAAGTATTTTCCAAAACTGACCCGAAATAATTATGAAAATCATTAACATCTGAGCCATTCTCTTCTGATCTATCGTCAAATAAATCCCTTAAAATGATTAAACCAGTCTTCCAATTTTATCGTTTTAAACGTATAGTTAGTATATTTTAAACTTTTTAACACTTCCCCAAACTGCCTTATATTTATTCCATGCGTAGTTATACTCTTGCAAAGACTTAAGTGTCCTGAATTTAAAGGAGTTTTTCTTAGTGCTGTCCCACTTAAACTTATAGCTAAAATCTTTGGAAATACTATCAGCATGGCGTTCACTGTGATAAAGCGCTCGTAAAGAGTGGAAGTGGAAGGTGTGATGATTCTGCTCGCGAAGAACAGCAAACTTTTTGCGATTTGAAAAAAACTCTTGGCAGCATAAAACGTAATCTATTCAGCTGGCCCCATTATGTCCAATGAAAGTATAGTCTGCAATTCCCTGATCATCATCACATCTTCCGTTCTGCGATACAGCACATAGATTTAACAAACATCTGCCAAAATTATTGACACTTATCCACTGAATATCTTTTCAGTGAGAATTTATCTAACAAAAAATCCCCCAAACAAACCGTCACTGCCTCTGATCCCATCCTGGCGTTAAAATCGCCACCAATACATCATTAAATTTCATTAGAACCCCAAGAAGCTTCTCTTGTAGGTATAATTACACCATTCTTATACTGTCTTAACAGATTAGAATACCAGTTTGATCCCTCTGGATGTATACTAGCCACATTAAGAAACTGTGCACGGAGAACATTTGAACACAGCAATTATTGGAGACATTCAAACGCTCATGCAACGTGCCATGCGATATGACGACATTGATGGGGGTCGTGCAATGTGTTACTGCACGTGCATCCTGTGCAGCTGTACACAGCATGTGCAACTCAAAATTCGCTGTCACTGTGGGTCATTAAAAAATTCAAAACTTCTCAGGCGCAGACACAAGCATGTCACAACAGGTGGCAACGCATTTTCAATGCCATCGTAACACGATATCGGTATTGGTGAGGCGTTATCAGAACACAAATGACGTTGCCGATCAGCCACGTTCAGGACGTCCCCGAGTAACGACGCAAAGACAGGACAGATGGTTCCAAACGGCAGTAACGACGTCCCAGACAATTCCTGGACTGCGCCGTATCCATCCCAACACTGTCAGGAATCGTTTACGTCAGTACGGGATTCGACCACGACGCCCTTGCCATACGTCCCATCCTGACACACCGTCATCGAGTCAACCGTCTAAGATGGTGTCGAAATCATGTTCGCCAACCTCGATCGCGATTATGGTGGAGAAATGTTGGCTTTACAGATGAATCGAGGTTCAACATTTCCCACAGTGACTGGCGCTACCGGCGTTTGGGAGAACGTTATGCACGCAACTGTATTGTGGAGAGGAATCGTTCTGGAGGTGGCTCTGTGATGATTTGGGGTGGGATAACAAGCACGGCACTGAACCCCTTTGGTGGTTGTTCAGGGCAATCTCACCGGTGTTGGCTACAGAGATCAGATTCTGAGGCCTCCTTTCCTGCAACGTCATGGCCCGGGATTGACATTTCAACAGGACAACGCTCGTCCTCACACGGCTGGGGTCGCAATGGATTTCCTACACCATAACAATGTCATGTTACTGCCATGGCCTGTAAATTCTCCAGATCTCTCCCCAATAGAGCATGTATGGGATGAAATGGAGCGCCGTCTGCGTCGTCTTCCACATCCTCCAGATAACGTCTGTGACTTGGCACAGGATTTGAGGAGGATATGGCAGGCCATTCCCCAGGCCTTCCATGCCCATTTGGTGGACTCCATGCGTCGCCGATGCACTGCTGTGATTCACGCACAGGGTGGTCATACCCGTTATTGACTTTGTGACTTTGTCGTTTGACCCCCTACTCCATTTTGATCTTCTGACGTCATCGTAACAGATGTTGACATTTTCTTATGGTCCGATCATTCAGCTGCTACAGCGTCTGCATCATTTTGTTCTTGCTGTGTTGTATTTCAATCCAGATTATAATTTCTCCGTGCACAGTTTCTTTATGTGGGTAGTATATCATAAATTCCGAAAAAAATCAAAATCTTTCATCCATGTTTCAGTTAAACCAATGATATCACATGATTTAATAAATCAATGAAGTCAGTCATCAATTTTGGAATAGTCCTGACAGATTCCAGAATAAAAACATCCCCTGTGCGTGAGTTTTAGTGAGAGGCGTTGAACGAAGTTTCGTACAATCACGAAGGCCCCTATATGTATCTACTGTTCCTGTCTACGGGCCTGTTTCTGTCTCCTAATTTACGGTCAGACAGTTTCTTCGTTTCATTTCCCGACTGTCCCTTGTCATCATATACACGATCCCTGCGCCAATCAGAATCCTTGTCTCTGCCTAAGTTTCTATGCACTGCGCTCTCTGTTGTATTGCTCTCCCTGTCCCTGGTCTACTCTGCATATGGTTTTTATCTCGTTCTGTGTATCTCTCTGATTCCTGACTCATTTCTGTCTCGGGGACAGATATATCACCCCTCTGTCTTTTTCCTTTATCTGATTCTACTCTTGATATACCGGTATCTGCTTCTGTACTGCATCTCACATCTTCCATTATCTTATTTCCTTTATAATAAAAATGTTTGTCCGGATAATAACTTTACAATGTGTGCACGTTCTAACATCTCCTGGAGTTAAGAGTTGTAGGGACTTGTCTTTCTTGTCTCTGGCCGTGTTAATTATTTCAATAACTTTTTCTTTGCACACTCTGTATGATTCAGATACACCCTCAGGTACATAATAAAATATGATATTGTTCCGTCTGCTTTGTCGTTCTTGATGTTCAACCTTAGTTTCTAGTTCATCTATAGACTGACGAAAAGTTTCAATAGCCTCCATTCTTTCAGCTAGAGCATCAATATCAGCTTGTTGGATAACTTGTGTTTCTTTAGTATTGTCCACCTCTCTCCATAACCCGCTAACCTCCTCTGTTATTGAGTGGATTTCATCGTTGAGAGAGTGAATGTCTTTAGCCAGCCTATCCTCAGATTCCTTAATTTGTTTAATAATTGCATCTTTTAAAGCATCTGACTCTATGTTTGTGGGGCCTGGGTTGGGTTCTACATCTCCGGCTAAGTGTAATAGTGATATAGGTGGTGAGACGCTGCTGTCAAATGCATTGTTCAGTATTCGATATGTAAACAATGTGGCTCTGCTCATATAGTTGTGACAAAATCTATCATCGGAACATACCTGGGCAGGGGGAATAAGTGTGTAGGCAGTGCTGCTTCGATTGTACTTGCTGTACATTCCATACACAAAAGTAGGAGTGTGGTCATTTGTCCACTAAACATGAAACTAAAACCTTTGTTTTGTGAGCTGTATTCATTGTAGGAATACATTTAGGGCATTAGTATATTTTATATACAAGTACGTTCAGCACCCATGAAGTAAAACACTTAATGTTTTGGGCAAAAAATAATATTTATTGATTATATGAAATTTCAATTTGATCAAGCAAGGAGAGGAACTAGCATAAGTATGGTAAGTGGTATTTGCAAGAACTTACAGAACAGATGCTTGAATGCCATTTTCTAAATAAACAAATTGGTCAAATCTCAGAAGAATTTCATGGAAGAAGAATATCTAAGGTCAATTATGTTTCTGCCGTAAACCACAAAAGTCATTCAGATTCGTATAGTCAGTGTCACAACCTGGACATAGTCACAGTGCTTGTGGCATAAATTCTTTCAGACTTGATAAGTGTCGTAATAAAAACCACCCACAGTCACACTCACGTGGCATTATTCATTCAGAATCATCACTTTCTGAGGTGAATGTGTTGGTTGTTCTGGGGAGGATTATTCATCAGAATCTTCTAAAATGTAGCTGGTGTAACAATTTTTGACATCTTTACGTGTTATTACAAAAATAAGAAACACAAAGGGTAAAAAGTTATTTTCTCGAACAGTAAGGTATTGACAATTTATCTTGCAACTGATATTTAACCAATCTTTGAACATGTAAATAAGCAATTGCAAACAGAAAAGTGTACAGAAAATAGAAAAATGTATCCGTTTTTCCAAAACAATACCTGTAGAGCCACAAGGCTCACCTAAATTTTGCTGTGGCATTACATCAAATATACTACACACAAAAATTATGGGAACACCCCTAAATTACTCAGCCATGTATAAAACTTAACGTGGCTTGGTCATTAATGAACTTCAGTAAATGCAACTTTTTGTGTGCACTGAGGGCACTTTAAATGACGTGTCATGCATTTTTGCAAGTGCTTCATTTTTTAAGAATTTGGTCAAAGTGATTAAATGCTAAAACAGGAAAAAACGGGTGCAGAAAGACTCCCTCGCCATGTCAGATTCAAACGCCAATGCAAAACTAAGTAACATAGGTTCTTATACATAAAAACAGAACTATTCATAGTAATCAAAACTTTCAATCACACAGGTCATGCAAGTGATCTCAAAATACAACATAATGAGCCAGTGAGATAGTATAGTTTCATGCAGCTTGTTAGCAATATTCCAGCAATGGGCTTCACACATTGTACCCATGTGGTGAATCGAACTCGGGGTTTCAGAGAACGCTTTACCCACAAGGTACCACACCAAATACAAAAGACAGTACATTAGGATTTCGGACAATAGAAATTCTATCCAAATTCATTCATTTATTATTGGAAGCTATATTGAAATTCAAATTTTGACAAATTAGGATGAGACTGTAGAAGTATTTATCTTACTTATTATGGATATTTAATATCTATCATTAATTGGAAGTCCAACATAAACACTGATAAAAAACTGTAAAGCACAACCTGAACCATCAACTAAAAACTATGTATGTATATTACATTAAAGGGACCGGTAATGTATAACTTGGTATGTTCTTATTCATTTTTGACACTACCCTCCCTGAAAAGAAAATGCAAAGCACTTTATATTTTATTGTCAATTATTTCATAACCCTCCCATAGAGACTATCACATTTTTGGGTGACCCTCCCTGTTTGTTCTGATCTTAATTCAAATATTCATGACTAAAATCATTATCATATCATTTATCCTATCATTTTGGAAAATTAATTTAATGAATATTAAAAATAACAGGCAAATCTGCCAAATATATTGGTCTGGCAAAGTTGAAATTAATCATAATTACTGTTATAAAGTTTAACAATATTGGATCTATCGTCTGTTTCTAAATACAATAAAACACAACTTTGACTTGCATGCCATTATTGAATCATCTACCCCACACGTCCTTCTGCATTGATATGCATCTGCACAGAGTGGTCAAAGTCCTTTTCTGACACAAGGGAGACATTAGACTGTGTCCAGCCAAACTGTCTGATATCCTCAAGGGCTGCCTTGGTAGCATCAAGGGATGTAGCTAATCCTAAATAAAAATAAAACAAGTGACATCATCTCTTCTACAGAACACATGATCAAAGCCTGCCCCACCTTTGATGTTTATTACCCTGCTACGCTAACAACAGCCCATTAAGCAAGATGAACTCATTGTCAACTCATTGTGGATTAGAGATTAACAGGGCAATTAGTGTCGGGTGGGTATTAGCACTTGCATTTGTCTGTTAATTACTTAATTGAGTAGTGGCGGCTTTGTCAATTGTGCATTTATAACAACGCTGACTGCTGTCAACTTATCAAGTCAGTTTACTACGTACACACATACATATACTGGTACAAAGCCTAACTGGTCCCGGGTGCGAAATACGCATATGTCGGAAAGCGCACGTAAAATCTCCAACATAAGTAAGTAAGTAAGCAAACTGGTCCGTGCGCAAAATACGCATATGTCGGAAAGCGCACGTTAAACTCCTAATTTAAGTAGGTAAGTAAACTGGTGAGTCCATCAATTACTTAAATGAACACCAGATAAAAAACCTGTAACAAAACTGTAACCAATCAAACATCTTCACCCCAAAACTTAAAACACCCAAAATAGACATAACACTAGCTAGCACAATAAATAAACAAACCGACCCAAACATAGCCAAAACCACCACACTAGCATACATACACGAAAATTGGCCAAATTGGTGTCACATTTACACAGACGGATCATCAGATCCGATCTCAAAACACACAGGTTTCGGAGTCCACATCACACAACCAACTAAAGCCACACAATCCTACCGACTCCCAAACAATCAATCCATATTCACGGCTGAATTGGGCATGGCTTCAGCCCTTCATAATCAACAATAAAAAAAACACCAAAAAATCTTAATACTTACCGACTGACTCAGTTGACTGCAAACCCTCCAAAATAAAAACACCAAAAACCGCCCTAAACTAATAAATCAAATACTAAAAAGCTCAAACGACCTAACTAAGGCAGGCAAACAAATAGTATTCATTTGGATCCCCGCCCACGTAGGAATATACGGCAATGCAAACGCCGATAAAGCAGCTAAACTATCCCTTAAAATCCCATAAATAAGCTTAAACTTACCCATCTCAAAATCAGAAATTAAAAGTGTCAACAAGCAGAAAATTACCAAAAAATGGCATAACTTATATCTAAACTCAAATAGCCAAATAGAAAAAGTTCTAAAAAAAACCCTAAACCAAACGAAAAATTCTACATCCGTCAAAAGAAATCAACAGAATAATCACTAAACTCCAAACAGGACACACCAACCTAAATAACCACCTCATAATAATAAAAAACACGCAACAGGAAACTGCCCACACTGCAAACAACTAGAAACCCCAGAACACTCACTCATACACTGCACCCACTACCTAACACACCGAACTACACTACAAACCACCCTCAAAACCCAAGAAACTACCAAATCCAAATCACATAAACAAACAAACATACTGCCATACCCAGCTCCCTTAGTTCTCCTCCCAAACCCCCTCGGCATTTATTCCAAATCTAAAAATTTCCAAAATTCTATATAAGCAACCATTAAAACCCCCCTAGTGGGTTGCCAAACAATTTTCCCTTTTCGGAAAAACACATTAAATGGCCTGGCCCGGGCCTGTGTTAGTGCGAAATACGCTGGAGTCGGAAAGCGCACATAAAATCTCTAATATAAGTAAGTAAGTGAGTCCATGCACATTTACATAATATTTTATACACATATGTACACGCTTGTTCACATATACCTCGATATACTGGCATATCACACGTACTAACAATTATTAGATTGATGTAATTGTACAAACATCTTTTACATACAAAATCATGTGAACAGATTCTACAATAGCAAGGCAGATATCGGTTAATGTTTTAGCATTTCAATTTCCACTGAATCAAAGTCATATCCTTTCATGACCCAGATCATGTTGAAGTGATTTAAGGTCATATAAAACTTGTTAATTTCAAATGACACATCTCGCACTTGTGACACTTTTTATGATTTGGTTTGGTTTGTTTGTTTAATGCTGCACTCAGCAATATTCCAGCGGTCTATAAATAATCGAGTCTGGACCAGACAATCCAGTGATTGACATCATGAGCATCAATCCAGGCAATTGGGATCAAACCAAGTCACTGAGCCTGACCACCCAATCCTGTTAGTCAATTTTTTAGACAAGCATAGTTGCCTGTTACGGCAAGTATTGAGTAGCTGAAGACCTATTACATTCATTATTTGATATTTGTGTGTCCAAGTTACGCCATTATTAGAAATAATATGTATTATTATACGCATGAATATGATTTAAAAACGGCTTTATATGTTAAGGTTGAAAATTATGTACAGGGAAACATTGAAAGAATTCATCAATACATGCATTTATGTCAGAAACTGGTAGATTTAATCAAAATGGTTTTATACTTCAATTATCTACTTACAATTTAAGTGTATTGAACTGGTGGTACTTTATAGTAATTAATACTTTTTTTGTGTATTTGATTAGCATTTAAATAGGAAATCATATTGTTTGCAAATCCATTACATTTTGAAATAAATATGTTAAAAAAAAACACATTTCGTTGTACATATTATAACAAAGATGGCAATAGTTATGACATGAAAAGACGTAATGTGTAGGATCCTCAAAATGGTATCCACAAGGGCAGGTAGAAGAAACATGTTGTGTTTGTTGTTTAACGCCGTACTCAGCAATATTCCAGCCATATGACAGTGATCTGTAAATAATAGGGTCATTACCAGTGATTGACAATATGAGCATTGATCTAAGCAATTGGTGCAGATTCGTGAATATTCACCTAATGAAGGAGTAGGTATATACTCCGAAATGTTGTGATCATAATAAACAAGTTGACATCAATACATTCTCCTCCTTTAAGTCCTTATGTGTATCACTTGTAAATACCATTCATAGACTTCATAGACTTCATGAGTATGTCTGTGATATATGTGTGCACTTAAATCACTGCATCCTTACCTGAGGCAGTAATGGATAATTTGATAGAAACGGGTACCATAGTCAAATTTAAAGCCAAATACAGGTATTTGAAGATTTTTAGTTGTGGCGACTTTTCCAGTGAAACAACTTACAGTATTTGATTTGTAGTAGTTAACTGTTCTAGTATTTTCCATCTGTAGCTGTAAAGAAGTTCCTAAATTGTAGCTAGCACCTGCTCAGACATTAGGAGGAACAAGATGACATAGATATTAACCCATCTGTAAATTTAACAGCCTGAAGTATGCTTGTTGCCAAATCCATAAAATAGCTCCATATTGGCTTATATTTGTTGTAATGTAAGGGCAGAAATAGCATCAGTTATTACTGACAAATATCTCCTGTAAAACCTTTCAACATGTTCAAGTGACACATCGAAAGGCCATTGTGAATGATTGTGATCTGACAGCACCATTTTAGGCCGCTTAATTACAGTTTCAGCTTGACATTGAGTTAAATTGAGTACTTAATTATTCTTATACATATAATATTTTCACAATAAGTTAGCTGCGCCTCACAATCAGAGTAGGCGAGTTAATTGGAATAGGGGGCTAATTTCTGAGGTAAACCTGTTTTAACATTTCACAACTATTTGTGTTTGTAAGAGACGATGTGAGTTTAATTCCATTTATTTTACTTCAAAGCATGTTATCACAATAAGTTGAGTCGCGTATGGAATAAGTTGGAATAGAGGCTAATTCCTATCGTAAACTTGTTTTAACATTTCACAATTATTGGTGTTTGCAAGAAATCAATCCGAGTTTCATTTATTTCACCAAGGTAAAAAAGAAAGAAAAAAAGGTCCTATTTTCACCCGGAAATAATCGCCTTTTTCGCTTTAGGCGTGGTGCCATTTCACCCAGTGCCGTTTTGCTGAGGTGCTGTTTTACGTTTAGCTATAACGGCTTGTTGCACATTATTAGTTCCAATTTATAATCATTTTAGCTACTGGATTAAGTAAAAAATGAAATAAAAAACATCTTGAAAATAAATGTGCTTTCATAAACAAGAACTTACTATAAAATGCTGGCCGCAGGCTATATTTAGTAAACAAATAATTAAAACTGTCAACATTGCTGGGCTTATGCAACAACATAGCGTGTGGAGATGATAGATCACTGAAAAGAGCATATGCACACTGACACTGACTCCTGACATCACAGGGCATTATTTTGCCAGTGTGTCAGGCAACAAAATACTACAAATTACGTCATAGGGTATTGTGACCTGTTTGAAAAGTTTGTGGTACTGTATTCTCAAGGTAGGCCCAATATTCTAGACAATCCAGTGATTGATATTGTGAACAACGATCCACACAGTCAGGAACAATGGCATGCCATGAACCAGGTCACCGAGCCTGATCACCCGATCTATTAAGTTATCTCCTATTAGTCCAAGAGATAGGGTATGTTTATTTACCCCGAAAGGTCCATATGGTTTGAATACTTGTAACATTTGCATTATGTCTGGGCTATTCAAAAACATATTTCTTACAAAATACATCTTGACCATTTTGCTAGTAGGGGGCGTTAAAGGCACGACTCAGCACTTTTTCCTGAAGGTGACAGTATGTTTTCAGAGATGATCAGGATATGTATGTGTTACCTATAGTTGTCAAATTCTATGTTAAATCAAATCTTGAAAGATGATATTTTATTATGAAAACAAAAAAATGACAAATTGTATTTAATTTATATATATTTTTTACAGTCAAAATGGCAAGTAAACTTCAACTTTTGATTGGATTCATAACGAAACTATTCCCCAAATTCATGAAACTTATGTCAATTTTGTTAGAATGGGGCATAGCCAGTATAAAACACTGCAAAGGTTATTCATTTTCTGGCAAAAACGTAAACTAGTGCTACTTTTATAATACTCTATAATATTTTGAATACACCAAAGGGAGATAACTCCTCCTTCAAAATTTTCTATTGTAGCTATCATTCGTGAGAGTAGAATGTAAAATTTGATTCAAGTTCTTAAAACGTCTTTCAAATTTCACCAGTTAGTGGTATATCTCACAATTTTCTTGAATGATATCACTGTTTATCCTGCACACAACAATTTTCAGTATTTCTTTGTTCGTCAATGAATGTCCGAGTCACTGCTCTCGTTATCTGTGTCATCATCAGACAGATTGGAAAACTCATCTTCATCAGAGTCATCTGAGGAGAAAGTATCAAGCTTCCTGTGTATTGAGGTTGGCATTTGGTCTCTGCTATACCAGATGACTGAATATGATCCATCCACCAATTTCCAACCATGTTCCAACCAAGCTGCGTCCACTACACGTGCAGAATTGGAATTTGCTTGTGCCTCAGCCTACAGGACCGCATCTTCATTTGATAGACTTGAAGAAAAAATTACTTTTCCTTTTCTGTTGGAGGATTTGGTACTCTTTATTTCATTCTTGTACTTGTTCAGCAATTTAGCTTCCACCTTCTGTGCACTGTATTTAGATTCACTCCCAAGGAATGTCACATATTGTTTATGCAGAGATGTGAGGTATTCAGCGCCATTTTTAACAATAATTTCTTGTTCAACATAGAGTGACAATGTCTTGAAGGCTGTCTCATGTGTATTGTTGTTCAGGTTTTCTTTGCTGTTGTCAGAGTGCTCCATAGATGCTCCATGATTGATGGATATATTTTCTGCTCTTTTGAGGTAAAGCCTACGACAAGAATGGTGATATTTTACTTCCTTCGATATGAAATCTACGTCACAAATCTGAGCAAGTAGCGCTTGGTCACACAGGGTTTCAGCAGCAGAATTAATTTTTTCTGCAGCATCAAAATTCTCGCATCTTCCAAGTGTTTCTCTATGATTCCCAACACGCTTTGAAACAGCTTTGCAGAAAATGCAAACATTTTCAAATACCCCAGAGGAAGTACAAGCAATACCAGGCTATCTTGAACGTACTACGTTACAGATGCATTTCTTTGGTGCTCAGTTTTCTCTTTTGGAATAGCTGTGAAATTTTTGTAGCAGATGATATGATATTCAAAGGACGGTTCAATGGCATCTAGAGTTCTCACATATTCACATGCTTTATGGTATTTTGATGAAGAATACTTGTTCAGACGAAGTTTGGCAGCATTTTGTATTTGTTGCCATGACTCACTGTCAAACCTTTTGACTGGTTCTTTTGAATGTTGACCCAGATGCAGAATACATTTGAGATTTTGATAATTCATTCTTCATATTTAAGTGCCTCTGCAGTCAATGAATGGTGTTGCTACTACACAGCATCTAAAAAACAAGCAAATTGCTTTATAAATGATTAATCAAACTTGAATAGCCCCAAACTAATACAACAACTGCTCCCTGGAAATACTTGAAATTAAGAGTAGTCTCCCTTGATAGCCTTAACTTTTTGCAGGAGATTTATAACTGATCACAAGACTTTATACTGTTGAACTGGTGATGATATATTCTGTGGATCATTACACAACTTATGACAAACAGTGTAAAAGATACTGATAAGGGTATTTACAACAACTCACCTTTTCCATCCTGCTGTCTACATGCTTCCAGCATTGCGGCCATCTTGGCATCAGGGACCAGTCATTGCACTTGATTGAAATTATATACTAAAACTTCATTAGAAAGGTTAATTGATTAACTCTATTCAAATCTGGTCCTTTTTATTACATTAATTGTACTTGAACTGTCTGAATTGTCATAGTTTATGATTTTAGGATGGAGTTATCTCCCTTTACCAAAATTAAAATCATCCTGACTCCTTTGAATAAAACTCTGAATCTTCATGATTAATCATTTGAAAGTATTGAAAATGAAAATATTGTTTCTATAATGTTGGGCTTGTAAAGCAAAATTACTGAGATAACTAAAACCTCATATTACAGGAGTAAGAAGAAACAAAAGATGGTACTTTGCAAACAAAATCATAAATATTATGATATTTCCTATCACAGATAAGACATTTTGATATAGTGGGTTCAATATTGTGTTCTTTTATAAAGTATATACTCATACCTTCACTTCAATACCCAAATAACTTTAGTCATTTTCAATTTTTATTAAACTTTTCGCATTTTCCTTAATCACATGTGCGCTAAATTTTTTTGCTGAGTCATGCCTTTAATGGCATACTGTGAGGAAATGGTCAAGATACAATTTGTAAGAAATTGATTTTTCGAAAATATACTCATTCTTCTTCATGATCTACATTTCAAACCTTTTGGACCTCTGAGGTAAATAAATTCCATGCTATCTCCATGCTATTCCATGCTATAGGTGTAGGCTAAAACAGCACCTCAGCAAAATGTCACTGATTTCTCGGGCGAAAAAGGGCTACTAATTGTCTTTCTCTGTTATCTGGAGACACATTCTTGTGATGTTGGCTCCTGGCAGAAAGGGGAGATATATATGAAATTTCTATAAAATTACTATTTATTTCAGACTTACTAAAACAAGAAAGAAGTGAGCAAAGCTCACATACCCCCGTTATCCCCGCTGGTCAACAACAAATAGTAAATAGTTTGTTAATTAATGAAATATACCTGTTGCTTTAAGTCAGAGGAACTGCCCTTTCCTTTGCAACCCCATGAGGATGCATTATGTTTGAAATGAACACATGTTTTTGCAAATATATTTCAATCTAGTGTGGGATAATCAATGCTTAGCACAACATACATTCTTGATGTTTCTTAATGTGTCCATGGAAATGGCCAAAATTTAAAAAATCAGAATCTTCAAACTAGCAAAAGGCACAAGTACTCATTGTGGTTAATGTGAGTAGAAAGTTTGGTGAAGCTAGGGTGCATGGTTAAAAAGTTTTGGGCCGTACAAAAGCTTGGATGGAAGGACGGACAGACGGAACGCTATATACCCCCGATTTACTTCGTAAACGGGGGTATAATAAATATGAAATATATAGTATACCTGTAGTCCAAGTTCTTGACATTTTCGCCAGACTCAGTTTCAGCTTGACACTGAGTTAATCGGAGTAAAGGTACTTAAAACTTCAAAGCATGTGATCTTTCAACGATAAGTTTAGTTGCACATCCTAATCAGAATCATGAGTAAATTTGAGTAGAGGCTAATTTATAATGTAAACTGTTTTTAGGTGATTAACATTTCACAATTATTTGTGTTTGCAAGTTTAATTTAATTTATTTAACTACAAAGCATGTTATATTTTCACAATAAGTTTAGTTGCCCCTCCAAATCAGAGTCAGCGAGTAGAGGCTAGTTTCTTATGTAAACTTTTGAGAACATTTCTCAGTTACTTGTGTTTAAAAGTGACTATGCGAGTTTAATTTCATATATTTCAGCATGTTCAGTACCAAGCTAAAATATATAATATGGTGCAGTTTTCGTCAGGCAATAGTAGGTGTTTTCGCTTTAGGCGAGGTGCTGTTTTCACCAGTCGGTGCTGTTTTTGCTATAACCCTCTCTTACAACTAGCATAGGTTGATTGGGACCAATTCCAACCTGGAATCCCCACATGCTTTTAGCAATATTCCAGCAATACCACGGCAAGGGACACCTGACATGAACTTCACACATTGTACCCATGACAGGAATCAAACCTTGGTCTTCAGCATGAAGAGTAAACACTTCAACCACAAGGCTACCCCACCGTCAAAATGCCCCACATGATAAAGTTGTCATCAGGGTATTCTTCAGCAAGTTAAAGTGAAAATGTCCATACCTTTAAAATGTCTTTTCTTCCACTTCACTATGTTCACTGTTGCAAAACTTCTGTCATTTAATTTGTTCTTGATTCTTCACACCTGCAAAAGTAAGTTTAGTCAATTCATCATTCTCATGGATTGATTTGTCAGTACGGTATGAAATAAGAAAATGAGTCACATTAGAGTATGTAGTTAAAGGGATTTTAGGAATCAAACATATTTCTACATATAGATCTATACATTAGCATATAGATCTACATATGATAGATAGGCTGCTTGTCCTACAAAAATAAAATCACACATTTACTAACATATATTAAAGTGAATATGTCATAAGTGGCTTACAGATGATAAATGACTTTAATACGTGATCAATATTATTCACATATTCCTTACCTGAATCAGAGACCATATAATAGTCTTTATAATATATGGTCTCCGTCTGAATATGTCACTTCAGCTCCCTGCATGACCTCAGCTGCAATCGCCAATTTTGACGAGGTTGTGAAACATTTCTGCAGTAGGAATATTACGTCCGCTGGGATATCCCTTGTCGCACTGCCTTATCTAAGCATTGTCGGCAAACACATATTCCATACAATGACGTATGTACTGTCTTCCCCAAACGTAAATTAGGTTCTAGCAGTCATCAGTTTACCGATCCAACACTGAGGCACAGTCTTGTAAAATATTGGACAAAACTGACATCCAAGATTTGTAAGTTTATTACTTCTGCACACGCCAGTGTGCATGGATGTATTTGGTAAAAGGCTACAACAAAACAAAACAAGTATTTGTCACAGAGTGACGAAATATCCCCCGCCTGTACACCATAGTACCAAATATGAAGACAATCCAGCGATTAGTTCTTGAGATATTGTGGCAACACCGTTTTCCAACTCCAAAAACAGATTTGCCTGCTGTGACCTTGAAAATGGGGTCAAGGTCACCAAATCTGACAGGTGTATGCGGTGTCTGTATATACACTATAGTTCAAAATATGAAGACAATCCAGCGATTAGTTCTTGAGATATCGCGGCAACACCGTTTTCTAACTCCAAAAGCAGATTTGCCTGCTGTGACCTTGACAATGGGGTCAAGGTCACCAAAACCGACTGGTGTCTGCGGTGTCTGTATATACACCATAGTTCCAAATATGAAGACAATCCAGTGTTTAGTTCTTGAGATATCGCGGCAACACCGTTTTCCAACTCCAAAAGCAGATTTGCCTGCTGTGACCTTGAAAATGGGATCAAGGTCACCAAAACCGACTGGTGTCTGCGGAGTCTGTATATACACTATAGTTCCAAATATGAAGACAATCCAGTGTTTAGTTCTTGAGATATCGCGGCAACACCGTTTTCCAACTCTAAAAGCAGATTTGTCTGCTGTGACCTTGAAAATGGGATCAAGGTCACCAAAACCGACTGGTGTCTGCGGAGTCTGTATATACACCATAGTTCCAAATATGAAGACAATCCAGTGTTTAGATCTTGAGATATCGCGGCAACACCGTTTTCCAACTCCAAAAGCAGATATGCCTGATGTGACCTTGAAAATGGGGTCAAGGTCACCAAAACCGACTGGTGTCTGCGGAGTCTGTATATACACCATAGTTCCAAATATGAAGACAATCCAGTGTTTAGTTCTTGAGATCTCGCGGCAACAAACAGGTGGGACGTACGGACGGACGTACGGACGTACGGACGGTCGTGAATACTATATCCCCCGCTTCGCGCTTTCGCGCGGCGGGGGATAACAAAGGAATTACCCCTTATGCAATAAGGAAAACACACATGTACGTGGGTACTTATACTTCACATAAATCCGAATCATCCTAGCATAGCATTAATACTGAAAGACGCGCCAGAGCAATCATAAGCTTCATCTATTCGACTTTCCGAAAAGTCAAGTTCAATGAGAGTTATCTGTCTTGAGTTGGAACTCTTCAATTGGTTGGATGAACTTCCGCCGAGTACTGTCAACTTCCGTCGAAAATAGCGCGCTGCTTTGAAGCTGTCAAAATGGGGAAGCAATACTGCTGTATTTGTAGCAATTTTAGGGGAAAGATAGTCGGTGAAAGAATAGTATCTCTACACGTCATTCCAGTAAGCAAGTCCCTACGACAAGCGTGGATAAGGCGACTTCGGTTAGTGAGAAAAGACCTCACAGTGACCAAGCACACGGAAATATGCTCAGAACATTTCGTGGGTGGTAACGGTCCAGGCATAGGGCATGATGTTCCATCGATTTTTCCGAAGAAAAATTACAGTACTTGCACAGTGAGTTATGTTGATTCTTATAAGATTTATGCTATTGTTGGTGTATTTAATGTGTTTTATCGTTTGTGAATGTTATGTGATTGTGAAAAATTGCTATGATTAAAACTTGAAATGAAAAAAAACCAATCAAAAACGTTTCAAGTTGTGTTGATCTTAAAATTAAATTCTATGTATCCTCTCTTTCATCTTACGTGTTTGAATAAATAGAAAAAAATGTCTCAGTGTCTGTTGATAATTTGTTGCAGGTGTCTGTTGATAATTTGTTGATACCCCTAAGCCAAATGAAAGCCCATTCAAGCAGGCCTGTGACCCTGAATCTCCCAAAGTGACTATGCAGATACATGGAGGGACTCCTCAGTCTGATGAAATTGAACATCAATCCACAACATTCAGTCAAGGTGCCAGGTACAGCGGGAACATAAGTTTTTTCTCTTTTTTGAATTTGTTGATTATTATGAGAAGTTATGCTTAACAAGACAAAATATAAAAATCATGGGTAGTCTCTCTTACTTACAGAACAATAAAATATAAAGAGCATAAAATATATATATAGAGCATAAAATATTATAGAGCATTGACCAATAAACTTGATAATACACTTCTTATATTAGCTTTTGTATTAACAGATTTATGTTAATTTATTTTTAATTCCTTTAACCTCAAAATATCGGGAAAAACTATTTATTTAATGTGATGAAAAGCTATTTATTATTTTGACAGATCCTATGACGTTCCACACTTATGCTGCATGACTACTGTGAGGCTGTGTGTGAAGACGACATCAGTTGCATAAGATATGGATCATCGCAAACAGAAATGGTGGAAGTTAGAAGCATGTCTACTCAAACTGACGATGTAATGTTCCAGTGTTTGAAACCTGTGAAAACATCCTGTGCAATGACTCAGACTGAGACTGAAAATAAAAAAGTCTTTCGCAGTCAAGCCACTCAAGTCAAACTTCCTGATTTAACATTTTTTGATGTGAAGACTGATTCAGAATTGGTAACCTATTATACAGGTCTTGTGGATGCAGAAAAGTTTTCATGTTTATTTGACGAGTTTTCTGAGGTTCATGACAGGGACTATCCAACATCCAATATCGGACACCCTAAATCTTTGTCTTTGATAGACGAGTTCTTTCTAGTGTTGATGCATCTTAGACTTGGACTCCTAGTTGTTGATTTATCAAAGCGATTTCATATTTCCAGAAGCTGCTGTGCTGATGTCATTAATAGATGGATTGATATTTTGTACAACAATTTATCCTTCCTAGTTGTCTGGCCATCAATGGATACTATTAATACAACTATGCCTCAAGGTTTTAAAGATCTGTATCCAAATACAAGGGTTGTTATAGATTGTACAGAATTATTTACAGAAAAACCTTACTCTATTGGTAAACAGTCACAAATGTACAGTCATTATAAAAGTCACATAACATTTAAAGCGCTTGTTGGTGTCACTCCAAATGGTGTTGTTAGCTTTGTCTCTGACTTGTGGTCAGGAGCTATAAGTGACCGGCAAATAACAGTAGAATCAGGACTTTTAGATTTGTGTGATGTAGGTGATGCAATCATGGCGGATAAGGGATTTACAATCTCAGACTTGACAACACCAAAAGGTATACTCCTAATAATTCCACCAAAGAAACATAAGAGAAAACAGCTGACTGCTGTAGAAATTGAACAAACTAGGAGAATAGCAAACTTGAGAATCCATGTTGAAAGGCACATGGAACGTGTCAAGAATTTCAGAATTTTGCAGGGTATAATTCCAATTACAATTTCAAAACCTGTAAACAAAATCTGTAAAATCTGTAAAGCTTTGACTACTCTGCTTCCCCCTCTTTATCCTCATGACCAAGAAATTGATGACAATTACTTCTTTGATGACAGTTCCTTGCTTGCTCTGTAATTAGTAGGATTAGCATAATCTTATAGCAGCTCCAGATGTGAATGGTCACATGATATTTTCTGCTATATTAAACTTAATAATCATGGTATCATGATAACAATTTTGTATTGAAAACATTGAGCCAAATAAGTCTAGACAAATAAGTCTATTTTTGTCCAATATGACTATTGACATGACCACCTACTGGTAGTCTATTTTTGTTTTACTTATTGAATCAAAGCATTGATATAAAAATCCTGACTCTTCATATAAGTAGATTAAACAATTTCATGTTTTAGCTGTGACAGCAGGATCATAGTCCCGTGGTTCTAATTTTTGTAACAATAACTAAAAATGAAAGAAATAAACGCTTCATGATTTTCTTTAATCATGTTGTCCATGTTATCATTTCAAGACGTTACAGAAAATATGTTATGATATGTTATGGCTTAATAGAATGGTTCAAGAAATTACAAGGAGAAGAAGATATCCTATGTCTAAGCGACATACTATCTGAATGGACAGTCGCCGTGAATGCGGCGTTAAGTAACAATTCACCCACTGAATGGTAAGTATCTATGACTATCAAAGAAAGATATGATATGGTATTGAGTGAAACATTGAATTCACTGAGTGAGCATAGGGTAAAACAACTGGTAAGATGGTAGTACAACGGTCAATCTAATACAGTGAAACACCTCGCTGGACATGTAGGGTATATTTTTCAGGAATAATGGCTGACAGATAGAAACTGCGAAGCCTTGTGACCATGTGATGCCACTTGTTCTCATCAAATGTAATCCTTTCAATAGATATCCCTTTGAGAGTCCACACCACAAAATCACACCAAGTTCTTTTGGTCAAGGCCATCTGTCCTTGTACTTGAAAGTAGTATGCATGGTTTTCTTTTAGAGTCACATTATTGTCCACAATATGGCAGAAGAAATTTGTATTTGATGCAGCCTCTTCTGGTGTTAGATCTCTGAAAACAGATGGACATTTAATCTCTACTAAGCCATGTTGATTACTACATGTACTACAATCTGTGCATGACACAAGTCCATCAGGGCTAGTTGCAAGGTAAGGGTAGTCTGTATTCACAATTAGTCCACACTGAGAAACTTTCAACTGTGGATGAAGACCTGCCATTTTGTTGATATACTGCTGCCTTGCTGTCGATTCATGTGAAAGTCCCCATCTGGTATGTCTGTTACCAAATTCGCCCTGATATCCCATTAGGTCACATACAAGTCTATCTGGAGCTGTAGATGTCTGTCGGATAAATACTTTGCCAAACTGTGAACTTGTTATCCTTTCCAATCTGGCTTCCTTCCAAAACTTTGTTTTATGTTGTCCTCTTGTCATTCTCTCTATTGACCTCACATCCTTTTCTGACACTTTCATGGAATCAAAATAGTTTTGAAAGGTAGTTTGACAGGTTGGCGATTTAATATCAACATAGTCTGGAATACAACGATCAATGCATGGTATTTTTGGAAGTTCTGGCATAGGTTCAGGAGCTTGAGTAACAGTAGTTGTATTAACAACATATCCACATTTACTTTTTGTTTCATGACCAATTAACTTCTTATTAAATCTTGTGAGATTTATTGTTGTCTGTGGCATGTTGCTGTTGGGAGACATTGATCTTTTGTTGATTGTTCCATTCTGTATCCGACAGTACCTTGTGTAGTCCCAGTACCTTTTTGTTGACTCTTCCTGCCACTTGACATCAGGTTCAAGTCATCCGATTTCATTGGATCCAACTTCCTTTTTCTGGGAATTTTCCACTTGCACTCAACTGATGTGCATGAAAGCAAACCATCCTTTTTCTTCTGACTAATGTCTGCAAGGGCATGAAGCAGGGCTGATACATGATTACAAGCCTCCCCAGCACTGCAAAAACAAAATTAGTTATATTTGTTAATATTATTTGGACTCCAGCTTTAATATTATGAAATAACAATCAAATGCATATAAAATGACACAGTCATGTTTCCTCTATTTCACCCTAAATAATTATTATTTTTAATGTAATCAGCTAAAGATGTCACATATTAATAAGCAACAATATCAATAATCTGTTTATTTATTTAAATTAACAAAAGTGAATGAGAGGTCCCACAAAGGAAGAGATTTTAAAATGTATCAATTACTTTGCTGGTATTTGGAATTAATAATTTACATATCTTTTGATCAAACTTTGTATTTGGAACATATTTTCTTTTAAAAGGTTTTTAAACGTTTTGTTTGTAAAAAACCAGCGATCTAGATATAGATGACACGACTGTAGTTATATAAATGCAAAGTCTACATACCCAGCTGCACAAGTACAATTTGCTGAATGAACACGACCTGTTACTTTTGAGAGACTTGCCCAAACTTCGTGATCGGGCTTTTCTTAGGATCCACTGTTGGTAGTGATGGTATGACACGGCATCTGACAAACATATGGTCACAGTCGTGATGGATGTTGTGTAGAGCTACGCCGTGAACATGTCTATCTTGGTAAAACACCACTGCCTTCATTTGTCGTTTAGCCATCATGGGTTTGGTGTCTGAAGTCCTATGGTTGCCAAGTACCATATAATTGTAGATTTCCTTCTCTGAGAATTCCGGCAATGATTCAACAGCATCGTTCCATCCAATCATTAATGTAGTGGGGTCTGGCATTCGATATCCGCTGGGTGTGACGAGCTTCCGTTGCATAGATATAACGCCTTTACCGGGTTGTACTAAGGTGGTTGCATCCAAACGAAGTGCCTTCGCCCCTCTTGCTCGCGCTAAGACTTGTGCTCTTACCCCAGTCACCTTTTGATTTCGTTCCCGTAGGTATTCACGCAATTCTTAATCTGTCATTTGAAGGAATTCATCATCAACGTCAATATTGTTATTTGCCGCCATTTTGAAGGTTTACTCGGCGGAAGTGAACCAAGCTCCTCACAGCGATAGCCCGTTCGCGGAGCTCTCTAATACTATGTTACCGAGAGTGTAACGAAGGTGTCACGCGCTGGGAAGGAGCTTGTAATTTTCTTTGCAAAGGGAGATAACAACACTTTTCGGAAAGTCGATAAAAACCTGGTGATTTTAAGTGCGCATCATAAAATTTACACGTGGTTTCTGATGCTACATGACACTAGAATTTTCACATACTGAATAAACACAAAATGTAACATAAGTTGCATCCAAAGCATATCTAAAAGATTCTTAACGATATCATTAATAAACTTACACTATGGATGGCTGAAGTTCGACTTGATATAGCATGCAATGCTAAAAACAATGTGGGGAACCCACGGGACCAATGTCGCTCTTGCAACCAACGAACGTTCTAAAACTAGCACTTCCGGTCCTAAGCGAAGCGCATGATTGAGAACCACTAAATAAAAAATCACTGTTACTTGTAACGGCACAACGTACGTATACTTCCTAATTCACACTGTCGAAATCCCCGCTGCGACCAATATGGCCTGTATGGCTGTAATCGGCAAACCTCGTCCCTTTCCGTAACAGCTGCAGAAATGACCGATCGTGTTCAGAGTCATTCGTGACCAACTCGTGTTATTCCGTGACAAGCAAGTTTACCCAAAATTCCCTCCACGGGCGATGGCGCTATTATTTTGGAAAAGGAATGTAAACATAAACACTCAAACCTCGTGTATTGCTGTACACCGTGATGCTTGATTACGATATGCTTACCTCGTGTGTCGATACATTGTTCTCAATCACCTCTAATATGGAAATCCCGACCGAAATCCCTCTGAGACATCCACAACGAGGACGTCAACTCGATTGACAGCCGAAGAAGGAAGAGCAGCTTGCGGATGCAAGGGCCTAGATTTTCGAAACGATCGTAGCCCTAAAATTATCGTAAATTTGTCGTAAGGAAATCGTAGGCTATCATAGCATATTTTCGAAACTATCGTAGCCCTAAGATATCTTAAAGGGGCACTGATCTAACGGACTGGTTGTTGCCTTTGTTATTGTTTTTTCCCCGTGAGTACCCGGATGATACGCAACGCAACTGAGCGTGACCAGAGACTGGGGTACCGTCTGCAAGGACAGCTAAATAAACTTGGAGGCTGGAGGCAATATTTGTTTCACGCATTTTTGAACACTGATTGGTTAACTGTGATCTATAAAGATTTCGACAAAGGGCGCATGTTAATTCATTTCTTCAGCCTAAACAAACAGACAAAAAGAACAAGGGAGCTCATCGGATGTCGTCATTTGGAAATACCCCAGATGGTTATAGTTTAATACTAAAAACAGTATCCATGCAGTGAAAGCATTTTCGGATTTCGGCTTGCGTCGATAATACGATTACTACTCCCTTGTTGTCATCCACGTTTTCTCGTATAACCCTACACTTGTGTATTTGTCGTCATTCACTTGATGGTCAGTTAATTAATTTATTACAGGTACAATTAGTGGTAGCACCACTTATATTACCTGACAAAGGTTCCCATTTGGCATTTATTGTGTCTGGGGTAATTATTCAATCTAAATCCAGGTTTGAAGTGAGGTGAAATGTGTGTTATGTAATATGCACGTGGCAGCCCAGCAAGAGATGAATGATCAGTTGATTTACTTTTTTTTGTAAATCAACGGATCGTTCCTAGTCATCAAAGGATTAACAGAAAATACGTTGATTGATTAATCACTGTTATCTTGCACAGTGGATATGTCAAGAGTGAGTGTTTACATGTCTAGGTTTACTAAAACAAAGGGAATATCCAATCATGGCGCGAAGTGCCGAAGTAAAAACAACATACTTTGTTCAAAGGGTTAACTGATAATACGTTGATTGATTGATCATTGTTATCTATCACTCAATGGCATTTTTAGGAACCGTGGACGCTATGAAAATAGTTGTCACGTGGGCTTTCTCAGCCGACCATTGAGACTTGACACCTATGTAAAACACCTGAAACAATCCAAGCGATCAGTTGAGAAACGAACACGGGTATAATATCCCGAAACGATATATATCTTTTAAAATATTTGATTGTTACTGAGACACGAGACATCGAATAAGTTTCTTTGTACAGCTGCAGACGAGTGGGATATTGTTCCTTTGTGTGGATATTCACGGATACATTCCTCGAACAAGGAAGCTGCCTAAAACTTATACACATAAATTTGGTACACTCTAAATCTATGTGTTCTAATATAGAACTCTGGACGCGTCCATACGTTCTGCCACAGAATACGAATGTTCTTATTCGGGGAGCAAGTGTTCTATTGCTGAACGCCTGTGATCTTTTGTAGAACGCGTGTGTTCTCTCCTGGGAGAAGTCCATGCACATATTAGCAGAGATAATGTACTGAATATTGTTAGACAAATTTAAATTCGACCATATATTTGTGTTTTCGGAATATTTATTTTTGAGAAGAAGAGAGGCTGGTAGATTGGTAAGTCAAACAGAAAATGTGTCATATTTTGAGTTTGATGAATGATAAATAGTTTATAAACATGGCATACCTTGTGTTCATAATAACTCATATGTCGCCTGACTAAATACAACAAGAAACATTACTGAAATACAACTCATTGCTAATACATGGAAATAACTTACTTGCATTATGGGACATTTACGTGTATCAGAACACTGGCATTCTGATGGCTAATTTTACCTGGATATTTTATGGGGGCTATGGAACATATACGGTCTATTTGCTGAACACATGCGTTCTCTCCTAGAACGCATGTGTTCTGCTATGTTCTATAGTGATAAGCAGCACACTAATGTTACAGGGGAGAACACGTGTTCCATTAATAGAACATAGGGGTTCTATTTTTCTAACTAGCATTCGAAGCTGCCCATATCCTGTGAACCACATCCGTTATGTGAGAAACTGACGTGACGTAGCATGTATTTGGTGCTACAATTTCCTATCATCTGAGGGGTATCTGTGGTAAGTATCCATCTAGGAATAATTTTGTTTCATATTTAATCCTTACCTAAAACTGTGTAATATTTCGGCGATATATTCATATGCTGATTGCATGCGAAGTAAAACCGGCCCCTTACGAAACTTATAGCAGACGACATATTCCCCGCCATTTTGACCGTCATTTCTGCCATTGTTCCACAAGCATTATTTGCAAATTGTGAGATGAAATCCCAATCCAAACTGTACTTGTGACATTTTGAAAGTTTCCGTTTATTTGAATGATGTTCAAATAGAATGAATATATATTTCAGGTTCTATATGAATCGCCTGAAAGTACGAAGCGGGCAACAAATCTCATGCAACAAATCTCTGAAGATCTAAATTTGGGATCCGAGGGCATGATCAGCATGCATCGACAATGCATCGAATCAGCAGAGAGTAGGGTAAGTATGTAATGAACAAAAAGAATTAAACCTTCACAGGACATGTTTTGGGCTATTTTATGTGAAATATTTTAAAAGAGTCTTGTTGTTTCTATTACAGGTTGCATTGCAGATAATCAGTACCATCCTTGGAAATTATTGCACACAGCACACGTCTACGCAAAGGAGGAAAAGAAACAAGGTTTTGCAGATCAAATAAGAAGGTACTTGTGTATATTTTGGTTTAGTCTTTATCCAAGTAAGTGATAACTTTGTAAGTCAAATAACATTTTGGGCAAAACACTTTGCAACCTATAAATAATGAAACAAATGTCACGGTAATCTTGCGTTTACTAACGAACATTTGTTAGAATAATGTCTTATGTAATATGTACGAGTTTGATAACTATATGACTATGACCAAATAAATGTTTGGTGTTGTAGGATGTTGCGGAGTCGTATTTGACATGAAGTTTCCTGAAGCATGCGATGGTCATGTCGCTGTTACGAACAACGTCCTTGGGGATATTTACCCACAAGAAACATCTGCGAAGTACTTGCGCTTCGTGAAAGACTTGACACTTAAGTTATCTTAAGTATGGAAGTATGCTTCACTTTGCTACATGACAGTTTGTAATGTTTCATGAAGAACTCTGACTAACATATTTAAGTGACTTGAATATCCATGATCATGACAAATAAATGTAATAAAGAATTCATGGTTGCAGTTCAGAATTTCGTCCGTGTGATTTTATGCCAGAGAATATGTATGGGTGTATGGTTCATATTCTTACGCCTTGAAAAAACATCGGGTAAATTGTACTCGACAACACACGATGAGTTGTCATTTCAGTACTGTGGAAGTACGTGTCCGAGAACATGTAGTGTTCTGAATCTCGGTCCAGAACACTTTACAGGCGTTCTAAAAGTGTTACATCGTCAGAACACGTTGAAGCGTTCTAAATATGTTTGTAGAACACTCCTGTTCTAGGTCGAGAACATCAACGTTCAGAATATTTTCAGAACACATGGACGCGTTCTAAAAGTGTTACATCCATGTGTTCTGTCTAGTGTTCAGAAGTAGAACACTTGGGTTTAGAGTGTAGGTTCTAATTATGATATCTGCATTTTGTTTTCCTTCATTTGAACCGATTCGTTCTTGTTTCTCTACGTCTTGGTTGGGAAATTCTTCAATGCGCGATAGACGTTGTTGTCACAGGTCTTTTCCTTTGTAAGCGTGTATATATTACTGTCAATTTGTAAAATGTGATTCTCTCAGGCAATTTATAAAATGTGTAAATATTTCAGTCATTTTGACTAAAAAATCTGTCCAGATTGATCAAGCCGATCAAAAGGGCCTACAAACATCACAACTGATTATTATGTAGGATTAGAAGCCAAACAACATAGAAATGTACTTTTCAACGTAACATTTTCAGTCTCTTGGTGATGACATTAAACATAAAAATGTTTGGAATTCGTTGTCATAATAATACAGATGGAAATGTTTTTCAGTCACTTTGTAAAATAACTGAATATTTAGACGTTTAATAAATTTGTTACACATTTGACAGTAAAAAAATATACACACTATAAAAAAAGCATATGCTCAGGTGAAATATATACTTTGTGTTGCAAGTCAAAATAGTGTAAACGAAAATCGCAAAATTACCAAGCAAGTGACTTATCAAAACTTCGTCACCATTACCGATGCTACTCACAAAGATACCTACATCTCCTTATTATCTCGAAAACTGTATTTCATTTTGTTGATCAATGTGACCATACGCCCTTATTACTACTACCCATAAAAGTGACTAATGCGCTTACGAATGGCGCAGCAGAGGTCGCGAACTAGTCTAGATTTCTGCTATACATCCGGGTACTCACTGGGAAAAAACAATAACAAAGGCAACAACCAGTCCCGGGGAATTGCGTTAGATCAGTGCCCCTTTAAGATTGTCGTAAATCTAGGTACGTAACAGGGCCTAGATTTTCGAAAAGATTTTAGCTAAGATAAGAATCTGTCCAGATTGACCAAAATTGATTAAGACGATCAATAGGGCCTAAAAACATCACAATAGATTATTATGTAGGATTAGAAGCCAAACAATATAGAAATGTACTTTTCATCGTAACATTTTCAGTCTCTTGGTGGTGTTAATCATAAACATGTTTG